GGTGACGATGTGGGTCGCCTACCTGCGGCCGGGGGAGGCGATGCGGCTCAAGGAGAAGTCGCTCGTCTTTCCTCCACGCACTTTTATCTCAAGCGGTACAAGGAACCACCTGCGCCCAGAAGGTGTTCACCCGACCGTCGCCGAGAAGACGCAGGGCGAACACTCGTCAGCAATCCTGTGGAGTCTGCACGTGCACGAGGAGATGGATCAGCACCCCTCGAAGGTCAACCTTTTCGAGGAGAGCCTGGTGCTGGACTCCGAAGACCTGCCCTGGTTGGGCGACATGCTCGCGGGCCTCCGCCGAGGCCAGCCAGACAAGCTCTTCTTCGACTTCAAGTGCTCCCACCTCGGCCCCGCCATGACGTCGGCTGCCAAGAGTGTCGGTCTCGCAAAGCTCAAGATCACGCCCTGCCGCATGAGGCACTCGGGCCCCAGTCGCGACATCCTGCACAAGCGAAGGTCGTTGCCAGTCGTGAAGGCCCGAGGCAGATGGCAGTCAGATCGCACGGTGAGGAGGTACGAGGCGCACGGACGCCTGCTACAGCAGCAGGCCAAGGTCTCCGACGAGACGAACCAGATGGGCGCCGTGGGTTTAGACAAGTTGCAGACCGCGTTCCACACCTCTTTGTTCCCGAGGGCCGCCGCCGCGTCCAGGGGTGTCGCGCCGTCGAGGTCTTCTCTGGCAGTGGGCGGCTCTCGGAGGCGCTCGCCTGCGCCGGCATCCCAGCCGAGGCCTGGGGCGTCGAGCAAGGCGAGGCGGCTGACTTCCCGAGGGCGGAGTCGCTGCAGAGGCTGGAGAAGGCCATGCTGGATCGGGAGGTGGTCTGCCTTTGGCTTGGATTGCCCTGCCAGACATGGTCGAGAGCCAGGCGCTGGGACGGGAGGGGGCCTGGCCCACTGAGGGATGATGAGCTGCATTTGCATGGCCGCCCTGATCTCTCGCCCAAGGATAATGAGAAGGTGCTTTATCACAATTCGCTTCTTAGGCAGTCTGCTCGGATTTTTAAGCTGGCCGCTGCCTGTGGCTGCTTGTGTGCTCTTGAGAATCCCGCCATTAGTCGTGTCTGGCTCACCAATGAGATTCAGGGGCTGGAGCGCCTGAAAAACGCTAACATGCAGGTTGCAGACTTTTGCCGATTCGGAACGCCTTGGAAAAAGGCCACTAAGATCCTGTTTGTAAATTGGCCACCACTTGTGTTGCCGCGGCGTCGTCCCTCGCGCAGTGTCTGCTCGCGCTCTGGCAAAGCTCACACTATTCTCGAGGGTAAGGGCGCCAACGGTGTTTGGCGCACGGCCTTAGCGCAGCCATGCCCACATGACTTCTGCACTTTGTTGGCTAGCCTCGTGGCGCCAGCCCTCTAGCTACGCTGTGTTTTTCACTCAGTGTGCTCTGTCTGTCCTGGCTGCCCTTGCTTGCGGGATTATGGAGTGTAAAGTATCAGGCTTGAGCTCGCCTGCGATTCAGCTTGCATCCAGTTTGATCGCACAAGCCTGCAAAAGCACCTCGTGGTTTGATGTGGCGATGGAAAAAGTGTCCAGGTCTCATCTCCAGAGCTTGCTCACAGTTGAGTCCGCGCTGCATCGCTCTCTTTACACGCTCTGTAGTGTAGCCTTTTGGTTCAGTTCTCCCTCCCTTGCCCTCCCGAGTGTAAAGTCTCAGGCTGGAGCTCGCCTGCAATTCAGCTTGCATCCAGTTTGATCGCACAAGCCTGCAAAAGCACCTCGTGGTTTGATGTGGCGATGGAAAAAGTGTCCAGGTCTCACAGACATGATACTGACATTAGTGCGGAGTGCCTGACAGTTTACGCAAACATCTCGCTTGAACATGATCTAGCTTGGTACATGATTTGATCAACCACATCATGTGCATGCAGTGCGTTAGTTTGGGCACTACGCATGCGTTGAGTATTGTAGGTGCATCTCCAGATGGATCTGTATAGTTTCCACACATGTCGCAATTATTCGAAGTCCTTGTATGCCATGCCGATTCCCCTACTCAACTCTGGGCCGCTTCCCCGCTGGAGCAAAGTAGGCCGCCAAGGTAAACCATGCGATATGTTCGAGGCACTTCTTGACCATCCAGCCATTGCATCAAAGACTGACGTATCGGGGTTCATTTTCATTTTGCCAGTTTAGCACTCAGCCATCTTGCCCCCCGTCCTTCACGCACTCCATCAACTGCGAAACGCAAACTTCATCGGCGCCGGCTAGAAGTGTGCCGTCTGCGTGCATGAGCTCAGTGACAGGAGTACCATCGTGCTGTTAGATGTTAGACGTCCCGAAATTTCTTGTTGCGTCGTGCATCAGTGGAGACAGAGGGCAGCCCTGAAATCTCAGTGGAGTCCCGGACGCAGAAAGTCCAGGTGGCGTAAACGAAACGATCTGGGATCCCAATCTGTTGCACCGCCTGCCAGAGTCTCTCGGGCGTTATGCTGCTGCAGGCCTTTCACCAATCAAGGGCGAGCAGAAGCATGCGCCCAGAAATCGTGTCCATGGCGTCCTCGATAAACCGCATGGTTGACGAACAGAGTGTCTGCCGTTCCCCGTCCCGAGTGGAATCCGTATTGTGTGCTCCAGATACGGTCCTTTGCGCCGGCGCACGTTGCGCGGGAAAGCAGGATCATGGCGCAGTGTTTGTACAGTAGAGGCCCATGCCAAGAAACACCCTGCTTGCCTCCTGGGTTTCTTGGGATTGGATGGTTTTGATGGTCTTGCTGTGGAAGGCGTGGCGTTTCCACACCAAAGATCAATGGACGTCCTGGGGTCTCAGGGTTGGGTTTCCTGTGGAAGGTTTCGTGTGGTCGGGCCTCCACTGTAGCCGACGGGCAGAAGGGAAACAGGTGAATCATTCGCACGGCCTGCGGTGCCCCCCTCTTGAGAATGGCCTTCGCCAATGCTTCGTGCCACACCCGGGGGACAGACGCCTCCGTGTCCATCACCTGTCACACGGCAGTGCAGCCAATCTGTGTGCCCGTGTTTCTCTACTGCAGATCGCCTTCAGAGGTCGGCGGCCAATCCCCTCCGACCGATCCAAGTTTTTGGAGCCACGTTCAGGGGCAAGGCTAGGGGGGGATAGGCTCTGGGGGGGATGCATCGACCCCCAATTGCCTATTCATCGCTTCATCGTGGATCGGGGCCCGATGGCCCACCCCTCCCAGGAAGGGTGTGATTCGCCACCGAGGGCCCATCGCCGACCTCTCGACGATGTATCGCCGACGCCAGCTCGAGGTTTTCATCCTTGAGCCGATCCCCCCCCTTACTTGGCATCGCTCGGACGTGTGCATTTTTTCTCGGCGAGAACCATCGAGGACCATCCTGGAGCATCGAGCAACAAAAACGCACGAAACCGAAACATGCACGGGACATGGACGTCCGAGCGACGGCAAGCTTGCGCTCCCCCCCTACACGTGGAGTCGAACAAGAGCCGATGGACACCACCCCACCCACGACCCGCGGGGTCGCAGGTGGGGGCCGTGTCGGCCGGGCGGCGTCGCGGGGTCGCGGGTGGTCGCGGGTGAGCAGGTGTTTGGCCTTGCCGCACCGCTGGGCTGTCGTGCGGGGTGTGGTTCCTGGCCCGTGGAGCCGAAGCCCCCCCTCAGGCGGTCGTCAGGCGGGGTGTGGTTCCTGGCCATTAACCAGCCTCGAACTTGTCCCTATCCCTAAGGCTGACACGCCAAGAGGCGATGCCAATCTGAGGGATGCGCCCCGAACAGCGAAGGGGATCCCCAGGATTGGCACTGTGACGAGGCGATGCCCAGCTTGGGGATGGGGGTATGTTCCAGGCTGGTACTGGCCCGTACAGCCGAAGCCCCCCCCCCGCCTCTCCCTTGCCCTCCGCCCGCCCGGGTCTGGGAGCTGCCGTGCGGTCGGCCCGTCCTCGCGGCACGGCCTCCGCGCGCGTGCCTCGGCGCTCGGCCGCCCCTGGGCGGAGGCGCGGATCAGAGGCGCGGCGCCGAGGGAGGGTCACCGCCGTGGGCGGCGGCGCGCGAGGGGCGGGAGGGAGAAGGAGGGGGCTTCCTCAGGAGGAGGCGGGGTTTCCCAGAAGCCTTCGCGGCTTCTGAGAAGCCGCCTGCGCCTTCGGGGAAGGCCCGGAGCACTTTTTCCAGAAGGCAGGAGGACTCCGCCGGGCCTTCCGAGGAGGCCCGCTCCCTCTCACTTCCCCACGGGCTGGCTGTCAACATCGGGTCGAACGAGAGGAGTACGGGACGTGAAAACGACCACAGCCACTGCTTTTCTTTTGTTGCCGCCTTCCAGCCAGCAGAAACAAAGCAGTGGTTGTGGTAATTTTCGTTAAGCTTGGCACCAGGGAACTGACCACAACCACTGCTTTTTTGCCGGCCGGCTGGAAGGCGGCGCAGACAAGAAGCAGTAGCTGTGGTCATTTTCCCGTCCCGCAAGGAGGGGGGATTACACCTTGGGCGATGCTCAAGAAAACCTAAGTTTTCGGCCAGAGTCTCGATTATTCTTAATGTTTCAATGTAAATCCTAAGATTTGAATGGACATTCTGGGTTTTTATTTAAGTTCTGAGACTATCAATTTCTGAACCCATGATTTCTAACGCATTTCGCAGGGTGTATATAGGAAAGGGGGGGTGCGACATCTGCTGCCCGGAGCTGGCTTCGGCCCCGCCGTCGGGCGCCTTTCGCCGACCCGCCCCGATTCATATACAAACAGCTCCTTTTCCCTGACATGGCACTCGTGGGGCCGCCACATCATCGAGGATCGAGGAGGAGGAGGAGGAGGAGGAGGAGGAGGAGGAGGAGGAGGAGGAGGAGGAGGAGAAGGATTGGGGATCGATGATCCAGTAGACTTCTGGACGTTTGCGATTCCGTGTATGGAGGAGGAGGAGGAGGAGGAGGAGGAGGAGGAGGAGGAGGAGGAGGAGGAGGAGGATGAGGACCTGCTCGATCGATTGGGAGTGGGTCGCTGACGCCAGGTCATCGCGCCGAGCCGCCGCTGCTCCGCCAGCCAGCCCCCCTGTCTCGACCCCCCTGCCCAGGCAAAGGCCGCGGCAAGAAGGCGGCGGACACCAACAAGTTCTACGAAGTCTTGGAGGTGAGCAAGACCGCCAGCGACGCCGACATCAAGAAGGCCTACAGGAAGCTCGCGGTGATCCCGGGGGCGCCAGAAGCCCGCCCACTCCCGCCCCAGCAGGGCCAGGCCGGGGCTCGGGATCGGCGTGCAAGCGCGGAGCCTTGCGGAGAGGCCTGCGGGTTCGGAGCAGGGCCAGTCGAGGCTCGGCGGCGAGCGAGGGGCGAAGTGACACGGAGGAGCCTGTCTCAGAAGGCGGCGGGGCTCCTCAGAGGCCCCCCGGCCTTCTGAGAAGTGATACGTCCGTTGCCCATGTCTCCGGGGAGGGCTTGGAGAACTTCTCCGACGGCCAGGGGGCCTACGAACCTGCTCAGCAGGCCCGCCCCTTCTCACCTTCCCCCCCCCGTGGCCTCGCCGCCGACGGTCGGACCAGAGCCTTGTCATAGACCACGGCGGCGGGGCCGGCCGCGCGGGGCCGGCCGCGCGGCCCGGCTCCGCGCCAGGCCGGCCCCTGGAGCCCTCCCGGGGCCCTGCCTGCCCCGCTTCCCCCGGGGCGGCTCCCGCCGTGGCCGCGCCAGAAGGCTCTCCGACGCGCCGCCGCGGGGGAGGGCCGCCGCGGGCCTCGACCGGCGCCCGCCGCGGGGCCCCCCACGAGGCAGCGCACGCCTCCCTGGGCAGGGCCAGGGGGGCGCGCAGGGGCCCGCCGCTCCCTGGGCCGAGGCTTGGGCGGGGCCCGCCGCGTGCCTCCCCCCCCCCCCCCGAGGTGAAGCACCACCCCGACAAGGGCGGCGACCAGGAGAAGTTCAAGGATCCCCTTGCCGGAGCGAGCGCCCTCGCCCCGCGGTCGGCATCGCCTTTGTGCCGGCCCCCGATCTCAGGGATGCTCTGCACTTCTGGGGGCGCATCCTGGCGATGGCCGTCGTCGTTTGGCTTCCCGAGATTGGGGATGGGGATAAGCTTGAGGCTGCTTCAAGGACGGCTCTTGTGGGCGCGTGGCCAGACCTTCGGGTCTGGAAGCCTCGGGGGCGCGCGGTGCTTGAGCGGCTCCTTCCACGCTCCACTTTTTCGGCTCCTCTCGGTGGCCGACTGGAACACTTGGGAACCCTTCCTCCTGCTCCGTCCTCCTCCTCCTCCTCTTCCTCCTCCTCCTCCTCCCTCCCTCCCTCCCTCCCTCCCTCCCTCCCTCCCTCCCTCCCTCCTCCTTCTCCTCCGTATCCACTGTGGTTCAAGATGCCCACGCTTGCGGAAGGCATTGGATGCAGCCAGTCCGCGGCCAGCTCGCTCATGGTCTAGCGAGCTCCCGTGGGAGCCAACCTTATCCGCCGCACACGGCCTGGTGGGTAAACAGAGGCACGTCGCATGAGGATAAGGATGGTGATGAAGAAAGAAATGACGCATACTTCGGCCAGCTCGTGCGCACCCAGGTCATCGAGAAGCTCAAGTCCACGCGTCAGTCCTTGTTCGAAAGCCTCTCCAGAGTTGTTTCTACAACAGTCGACGGTAAGATCGGTGGCCTCGCCGTCGCCGTCGGTGAGTAGGCTTCGCGGATGAGTGCTGTTGGGGTTGTTGTTGGTGATGTTCCACGTGTTGCTGAACATGCGGCCAGCACAGCCCTCCGCTAACAAGATCGACGGTCTCCATCGGCAAATGAACGAGCATATTGACGCCAATCAGGTATGCATTCGTGAAGCAGAAAGACGATTGGATGAACATGACTCAGCTCTGATCAACTTACGAGAAGATATGCAACACATTCGTGAAGCCCTGTCTCTGGCTAGCGCACAGCCAAAACTGGTCCCCAGCTCCCAGCTCTTCAGGCATTGAGCGCGAAGTTGACCATACCATCATCACAGTCTTTATGCCCATCCCGCGAACCTCAGCAGCATCAATCAGTGTTTTCTGTTTGGGATCACGACAGTGGGCGTGCAAGCCGTTGGCTTTCTGCATTGGGTCGTCGGAGCAAGACCCGCTACTTCACGGTCAAGTCCCAAGGCGCCGTCGGTCAAGGTGCTTGCGGGGTCGTCAAAGTTGTGGATGCCGAGCGTCGCGGTCCTGGGCAGTGGGGGCGTGCCCAAACAGATGCTGCATATGGTTCGGAGTGCGACCTTCTCATCGGTGCGGGCAAGAACCCTATGCGTATCGAGATGGAGGTATAGGGCGTGAAGTTCACGGAGGCCTTCCGCTCGATGGGCCTCGCCAGCAAATGGTTTGTCGATCGTGGCCGCGGTTGCGGCATGGCAGATTTGGACCATCATCGTTCAGTTCATCCATTCTCCCGGCAATGGCAAGACGAAGCCCCGAAGGGCCAACGACTTCATTGCCAAGCTTCAATTCGACAGTCAACGCACGGAACAACTGGCGCAGTCTATCGTCCCCCCCCCCCCCCCAGAAGTTGCATAGCGGTGTCTTTAGCGCGTTGGTAGAAGCGGCCTGTGGGGTCAAGACGAAAGGTCGAAGTGCGCCAATCAGTTCGCCCTGCAATGCAGGGGCGCCGTGGCGCAGAATATTCTGATTTACCTCGAGCGCATGAACGTCAGAACTGGTGCGGTCGCGTCGCAGGAGCTCCATCCGTGAGAGAGTCCACGTTGTGGTTTCCTGCAGAAGGTTCACCGTGGATGGAAGGCTTTCATCGGGGGGGGCTCCGCTACATGTCTCCCTGTTTTGTGCAAGGCCGATGCCCCGCAGCTTCAGACTGTTCCAGGTCGCGTGTTGCGCCGAGCTTTCAAACAGGCAAGCAGCTTGCCATTCGCGACAAAACCCGCGGGCACTAGTCAAATCTCAAGCAAGTATCGATGATCTATCGGCGTGTGTGCGCCGACATTGCCCGCGCGGCGCGTGCGCTGACATCGCGGACAGTCATCTTGCGCGGCGACTTCGACTTCTGCAGCTCCGCGCCCCAGCCCATTCATCTGCCCGATCGCGCGACAGTTGGCGGCGGGGGCCAGCGCCCGGGCGCCTGGCTGGAGGAAGCTGGTCGCGCGGATGACCGAGATCTCAAGTGACGGCCCGACTCTTCATGGCGCGCGTGCCCGCGCGGCTTCGGCCGTCGACTGGCTGGGGCGCAGCTGGCTCGATCGCGTGATTTCTAAGACTGTGTATTTCCTGAAGTCGTTCGGGCTCCTGAGGCGATCGCGAGCAGAGTGACTGGCGATCGCGCGGCGCTAGGGGCGGTGCTCAGGCGGCGGCAGCGAGCCAAACATAGGCAGCGCCGCATCCCTCGACGCATCTTCGAGTCTTAGCAGTTGCTTCGGAGGCCCTTCACATTGTGACGCAGCAGCTCAAGTATGAACGCAAGTCGCGCCCGAGGCAGGTCGAGCTTGACGAATGGGCTATGCGCGCGGTCGCGCGTGGCAGGCGCGACCAGCTTTTCCTCGATTCATCTGCGTGCCTGCGCACCGAAGTCGCTATTGCGCGGATGGTTGCTCGTTCTGCTTGGGGCGGCGACTCTAGCGCGGAGGCCAGGCTTGTCACCCGGCGCCCATTCGCGGCGGATTCTTTCGACATTGCCCATAGTCGCGCGCAGCTACGCCTCCCGCCTCCTTTCTTTCCGGCAGTGGCCGAGCAAAACTCTTATGGGGCGCGCAGAGCGCTGCCTGCCGTTTGCAGCTCGAAGCTCGGGCGCAGTGCTCCAGGCCCACGATGCAAGGGGAAATTGAGACCATGCCCGCGAGCGAGGAGCGGCGATCTGGGCCCCCCTCCCCCGTTGCGCGATTCTCCGCGCGGTCGCGGGGCTCGGGGCGGGCGGCGCCCGCAACTGCGCGATCGACGTGGGCGGCGCCCTCGTCAAATATTGAGCGCCAGTCTTCGCGAATAAGGGCGACGACCCGGATGGCGCGAAGAGGCGCGTCGATATCCGTGTGGGGCCACTCGATCTCTCAGTTGCTCTGCCGCCGTCGCCGGGTCTCCTCTGCCGCGTTGCCGGCGAGACGAAGCGCCCCGCAGTTGGCGTCGACGCGACCGCGCGCGCAGCTTGGGCAGCGACGCCAAAGGGGCGGCGTGGTCTCGGCGACTCTTCGACGTGGATCTTGCGGGGGGAACGGCTTTCCAGCCGCTCCGGCGACGCCTGGAGGGTTTGGCCCCCCGAACAATGCGACGACTCGCTGCCCCGCGCGAGGGCGCTAGGGCCTCGGCGCGAGCGCGCAGATCATTGCCTCGCGCGCCGACGCGCAGTTCGGGGAGCTGCCCCCGCCCGATCTCAGCGAGGATCTTCCCCGTCGGAAATTCGGGGTCGACGTCCTCGAGCTGGGCGCCATCGCGCGCGTCTGTTCGAATGCTCCGACAGCCAGTGTCGACGTGCCAGTGTGCGTGGTACTGGGCGTGCGCGCGGCCTTCCCTGGCCTCTCCCAGACGCCCGTGCGCGTTGTATTCAGCGCGATGCAGGTACCTCCGACGTTCGGGGCGGCGGTGGTGTCCAGCAACGTACTTGGTGGATCGCGTCGGGGATCAGACAAGGGAGCTCGCTGGGCGGATCCACGTTCGCTGCGGTGACCGCCTGCTTCCTTCAAGGTCTTCTCGCGGGACTCGAGGCCCCTCGGTTGGGCATTGCTCGCGCGCGCCGACGACGCTGGATGCGTTCTTAAAGCTCTCGAGCATTTTTTGCGATTGTCCACGACTTCGCGCGCGCGGCATCATGCGTTGCGTCTCTCCTTCTGCAGACGCGCAACTGCAATCTTGTGCAACTGCAAGCTCGTCCCGCCTCTCGCTGCATTCTCTGGTGAGCTGCGCGACCATGTGCGTGCTGCCATCGAGTTCTTGGTGCCTGGCTTCGCTCTTGTGGACATAGATGACGCGCTGCGCTACTTTGGCATCGTGATAGGGGCCAGCTGCGGCTGGCGCGGCTTGGCGTGCGCTCGTTGCCGCAGTGCAAGCGCGGTGCCTGCGTGCTGGGTCCTGCAATGCCTCCACCCCCAAAAGCACAAAGCAATGTGCGTCTAGAGTGGCGGCGCTGGCGCGGGCTCCTCGATTGCCACTATGCGCGTTTAACATCCCTGTGCAGCTCAAACTCCGCGAGCGTGGCGGGCCCAAGTTCCGTCCTGGCTTGCGATCAGCATCGGCGGTCAAAATCGCAAGGCAGCTGGGGCCCTGCCAGAGTACATCAAGCTGTGCGAGTGGTTTTACCGTCAGCATCTGCTTCTAGGTGACATCCGATTTTTGCAACTGCTAGCTTCCTCTACACCCGGCCCAGGATTCTGGCAGCCAGAGGATGCGTGCATATTCTCTGCATCGCAGTACGTCTGCCGCTGCATCAGCGAGGTCCCCCAACCACGCCGCGGCGCATCTGGAATTCGGTGCTCGCGCTGTTTGTCGATGGGAAGTTCTGCCGCCGCTTCCGCAGGTCAGTCGAGCGCAGAGGATCGTCGTCATGGCTGTTTCCAGGGTGATCGCTCACGCTCGATAGTGCCACGTCTCTTTCTCCCGCGATTGGTCATGACATGCGCCCTTGACGTCGACGGCATCACGGTTGCCCCGCCTGTGCGGTGGGATGAAATCACTCGACGTCTGAGGACGTGCCCCTTTTCATGGGAAGTCGTTTTCCTGCGGGCGGTTGGCAATGGATGGCGCGATGTCATTGTTCTTCCCATGGTTGGGCGCTCGTCGCGCTGTCCTGGCCGCGCCCTCCAGCCCGACAAGCTGCGCCATCGCGAGGGGCGCCCGCGTTTCCACCAGACGGTCGCGGAAGCTACGGCGCGCCCATGTCCTCCGTCTGCCTTCGGCAGGTTTGGTTTGCTGGGTTCGGTTGCGATGGTGGGCGAAATTGTGTATGACATTGTCTTGACCTAGTGCGAGTGCGGCTGCTGCCCGCGACGTGCCCTCTAT